ATTGTGAGGTTCACTTTGTATTACACTAGTACACCAAGAGGAGTGTGTGGTGAGAGACGGGGTCGTCCCAAGAGGAGTGGGGTATATGGTAATGCCTAGAGAGTAGTTGTAATTCCTAACACTTGACGGAGACACGGGCTAGAGACCAACACTTGAGGTGGTAGTTAGTGTGTTTACATTGTGAGTGTTGTAAAGTTTTCGGTGAGCTAGAAAACCAAGTGTGAGGTGTAAACGTTGTTCGAGTAAGCGTAGAAAACTCGGTTGTGATAGTGGAGATCTCCTCGAGGTGAGGAGCGCAGACGTAGGTCGTGGGGACCGAACTCCGTGATCATATTGTTTGTTTGTGATTGCATTAACGCACTTATTTTTATGTTCATATCTTATATCGCCTTTGTCTATTGCTTATTGTTTATATTCTCACTATTTGGTTCGTGTTCATATTGCCCTTGGTTTATTATCCTTGCACATATATTATTCATATCTCTTGTGCTAGGATATATTTGTTAGTAAAGTTGTAATTTAGCATAAATCAGATTAGATTAGCATAAACCCTATTCACCCCCTCTAGGGTTCTTTACTAGTGGTATTAGGGTGCTTTCACTATAGTTGTTCAGGTAGAAAATAATCCAAATTCTTCTAAAGCAACACCGAAGCATGATGTATAAGAACTAGTCGAGTCCGAGGCTCTAGAAGTTCAAAGGTCAACTCATGAATGAAGACCACTGACTTGGCACTCGAAGTATATTACAAAGAGTAATATTACATATTGCTTTCTAACAGAGGATGGAGAGCCATCAACTTTTTATGAAGCTATAAATACCACATATGCATATTTGTGGATAGCAGCAATACAAGAAGAAATTGAAGCTTTCTATCAGAATAAGACTTTAGAACTTGTGTCATTACCATAAGAAAGTTATTGGAAATAAATAGGTCTACAAGATCAAGTGAAATGAAGATGATCAAGTGGAGCGATATCATACTAGATTGGTTGTAAAAGGATATGCTCAGAAAAAAGTATTAACTTTAATAAAAAAAATTCTTCTGTAGTTCGACTCACAACAGTTCGAATAGTCCTAGCTATGAGCACTATATTTGACTTATATCTAGAGCAGCTAGATGTAAAAACAATATTTTTTTCATGGAGATCTTGAAGAAAAAATTTATATGCTCCAACCAAAATGTTTTGAAGAAAAGAAAAAAGAGAAATTGGTTTGCAAGTTGAACAAATCTCTATACGGTCTAAAGCAGGTGATGGGGTGTTGGTACAAAAGATTGATTCATTCATCATGAACCTTGGTTACAATAGACTTAATTCAGACCAATGTGCATATTTCAAGAGGATTGGTGAAAATAACTTTATTATCTTATTATTGTATGTTGACATGTTGGTTGCAAGCCCCAACAAAGATTAGCTCAAATAATTAAAGACATCATTTGCTAGAAAATTTAAAATAAATTATTTACGATATGCAAACAAGATTCTAAGGATGTAAATTTACCGAGATAGAGTTAATAGGAAGATTTGGCTTTTTCGGAAGAATTATTTGAAGAAAATCATGTGGTGCTTCAACATGTAAGATTGTAAGTCAATTTCTACCTCACTTCATGTTAATTTTAAGTTATCCTCTAGTGAAGAAGAGAGGATGGAGATATCTTGAGTACCGTATGCATTGGCAATGGGATATCTAATGTTCGTTATGATTTATACATGACCAGACATTGCACAAGCAGTAGGAGTGGTTAGTCGATACATGGAGAATCCTGGTAAAGAGTATTGGAATGCTGTAAAGAGGGTCCTAAGATACATTAAGGGAACCTCAAATATCGCATTATGTTACGGGTATCAGATTTTATTATCAATGGATATGTTGACTCTGATTTTGTAGGTGATCGTGATGATAGCAAATCCATCACAGGTTATGTGTTTGCACTTGTTGGCAGACCTGTAAGCTGGGTTTCAAAACTACAGTGTGGCTACATCAACAACAGAAGCAAAATAGGCAGCAACTACACAAGTTAGTAAAGAGGTAATATGGTTGAGAATGATACTGGAGGAACTCGGGCATGAACTAAAGAAAATTTCTCTATTTTTTTACAGCCAAAGTGTTTTACATTTGGCAAGAAATCTAGTCTTTTATTCAAAGACAAAACACATTCGAGTTCAATACCACTCCGTTTGTGAGAAAGTAGAAGAAGAAACTGTTAATATACAGAAAATTCATACTAAAGGCAACCTACCAGATATTTTTGAAAAAATAATCAATACTAAAAGATTTATTTAGTGTCGATCCTCTTGTGATATGTATTGATTGCTTTTCAAAAAAATATGCACCGAAAGATTGTCAACCGCAATTGTGGAACAATAAAAAAAGGTGGCTTGTGTAGCACTTTGGCTAGGTTGTATCAAAGAAATCAAATATTCAAGTGGGAAATTGTCAGCCGCAATTGTGAAAAAATAAAAAAAGTGGCGGCCCCCAAATTAAATGCACCAAAAAAGAGCTACACCGTAAGAAGAAAAAATATTAGAAAATTAGGAATAGTATTTTCCGGCTGCTTATAAATAGGCCTAAAACTCTTCAGGAAAAATCCATCCCATAAATAATAACAACTCCACATATAGAAGAGTGAGAAAAAAACAGAGTTTCTCCTTGTAAAAGAGATTGTAACTCTAAAGTTTTTCCTCATAGTGGATTCTTCTATTTTTGCCCGTGGTTTTCACTCCAAATTCGTTTATAAGGGTTTTCCATGTAAATCTATGCGTTCATTCTATTACTTCCGCTCTACTATTCGCTGGGACCCTGTTCTATTGTGCCCCGGGTTTGTCCCTACAGAATCAAAAGATTCACATACGGCAGAAAAGTAAGGGTGGTCAAGTTCCCTGTGTGGTGATCATGTACTCTCAATATGTCTTTCTCCATCTCTTTCACCTAGATAGGACAGGCACATAAAAAACAAGGTTGAACTGCAGCCAAAATATATACGTCTAGCACACCAAGAAATTAACAGAAGGAAAAACGAAATTACTTCTTGTGGGAGGTATCCATTATCAGTTACTGAACATAAAGTTTCCAGGAGCATATTTCTTCATGTTTTCTGGAAAATCAACAGGAAACGAACAGTTTAATCCAAAAAATTGTATGGAATCAGCTATAATACATAGTAAACTTCAAGAACTCTTACATAAGTGGCAGTAAGCAACTGGAAACACCAACAAGCTGAGGTTTTTCCTTTGTGGTCTGTTTCACGGAAAGGAACTTATTGATGAGCGCGAGACTGTGAGATATAGAGTACTACTGGAATGATGGCTGAATTGCTCACACATACTAACAAGCCAATCCACAACATAACCTCTCACGGTAGCATTGATTTTAACAATTTCCACGTAATCAACCCATGACCTGTTCCTTTCCTGAATACACAAGAAACAAGAAAAGATAAATATCAAATAAGATCAAACCCATGCCAAATATCTCTGTGAAAATCTTGGCAAAAGATTTCATACCTCTAAAGACTTCTTGTAAGCATTCATATTGGTAAACTCAACAACAGAGATTGACACTGGAGAATTAGTATCGGCCAGAGATCTGCAGGAAATGATTCTTGTGCTCACTCTGAATTGCTTCTTGATGGTTCTTGCCTGTTATTTTCTTGAAGGATGTTTGGTTTTCAGGAGTTTGGATATGCAAAACGTCTTTTACATATATGTGACAGAGTCTGCTGTCTTGAGGATTGAGACTATACAACATAACTAACATAAATTTTTTTTACTAGCATCCCATGCAGAATATAAGTACTTGAAACTGATCAAAATCAAACCTACTTTCACTTAGGGCAACGTGGTTAACTCCCACGCACAAGCTTAAACAAAAATAATTATATCTGCCATAGAGGGCCATCAGTACATCAAGTTTTTGTAGCACATTAAAGAACTTAAATCAACAGATATATTTATATTTATTTTAACTGTTTCCGTAATCTATTTTTGACAAGCCCCGCGTGAATCACCAAACTCTTAAACAATCTCCTAGGAGTGGAATAAAAAAAAATCATGAAGTATTTAGGTTATATTAGGTCGTAATAATTTCAGAACTGCTTTCAGAAAGAGAACACCGTGTTTCCTTTAGGGTTAATTGTAGGTAGACCCCCTGTAGAACCACATTTTTCAACTTACTAGCCCGTCTAGTTTTATTTTTGCAGATTGACCCTTTGAGTGAAATTTTTGGCCTCTTTTACATTCAGATAAATAGAGTTTTTCTTCCTCTATTTATATATTTATTTGACAAATATACCTCCTCAAGGTGAAAGTTTGGAAAAAGAAAATTACCCAGGAAGTCATTTTGTACTAACATATACAATAGAACGGTAATAAGTTCAGACAGCAATACTTCAGGGTGGTCTATAAGCAATTAACTTTTACCTTTAGGCTGCGTTTGGGAACTTTGATTTGGATTTGGAAAGTTGATTTAAAATCAAGGGATTTTAAATTTAGGATTTGAAATCCATGATTTAAGAAATCTTTTGTTTGGATATCTTTATTAAATGAAAGGATTTGAAATCTCCTTGATTTCAAAATCTAGTGTTTGGGTACTTTATTATACATGAATTTGAATTTAAAATTGATAAAAATTTATTCTCTTAACCCATCTTGTTTACATCAAATGCAATAGAGATGTGTAAAATAGTAACCAAAATTCTCTTAACCCATCTTGTTTACATCAAATGCAATAGAGATGTGTAAAATAGTAACCAAAAAACACAAATATAGATAATTTTGGCGATGATAGCTACATTTGCTAAGTTTTCAAATTTATTGCCCACCATAACTTGCAAGAGTTTCAACAAAATAAAAATAAAGAAAACTCTACAAACATATCAAGTATCTTACAAAAAAATATCTAAATAATACATTACCATTGCATATTTCATAGATATCTAGGCTGGAAAACACTTGAGGCTTGTTTCATATTTCATACATATTCAAAGTGAGAATAAGTTGATATCAGAGCAAATAAGTAACAATTCCATTATCTTATCAAATGCATGTACAACTGATAATTACATAGTCAATTTGGTCTTTGATATACCAAGGGAAATGTTAATAAGAAAAAATACAAAGAGTTATAAACTGAATAGCATGTGAGAAGAGAAGTATCCTTGATGTAAAAAAAATTGCAACTGATGATTCAGAAGTTCTTATATGATAAACCCTATCCGCAGCAACAAAAGAGTAATTTTTATGCCATCACGATATGAGCCCAAAACCTACAAAGAAAATGAGCAGATCAATAAATTTTTTTAATCAAGCTAACAAGCTAACAAATTAAACAAAAATGTCGGATAAGTGAGACTAAATAAGATAAGCATGTATACAAGTGATAAAAATAGCCAATGCTTTGAAGAGAAAATGAGCAGATCAATAATTTTTTTTACCATTGAGCAGATCATCTTTCAAACGAGGGAAAAAAGCTAAACTTTTTACCGTTAACCTTTAGAATAACGTAGCCATGTGTTTGGTTCAAAATTTAGCATGTGTTTGGTTCAAAATTTAGGAGGATACTAGTGGGACTATTTAGTCCTTTAAAATGAAATAGTCTCAAGCTTTTGCACTAAACAATGGGGGAAGATGGTGTTACATAGTCTGTGTACTATTTATTACTCACTTGGGATTAAAAGTATCCTATATTTTCCATTTTTATTGATGTTAATGTAAGATGTGTTACATCAATCCACTCTCTGGAAAGGCCCAATTTGGTTTATCTTACTTGACAAAAATTGTTATTGCATGAATTCTAATGAGGCTTTTGCTTTTGTGTAGGTCATATTGAAGTTTCAGACAGTTCTACATGAGGAAATGATTAATTTTTTTTAATATCCTTAGCAAATTATGTGTGTTCTATGGAATTTTTAGAAGCCAATTAATTTTATCTTAGCAATAATTGATTATTATCTTTTTTCTGAAAAGATAGATGAATATTGCATACTCCTGATACTCCCAAGAATCTTGCCTCCACTTTATCTTGCCTCTCTTTCAAATAAATGCTTGGTTTTCCCTTCTTAATTTTATCAAGTTCCTTCAAGTCAGGATATGACTTGTTTTTTCCAAGTTCTGTAACATTTGTTTTTTTCTTAGTAAAGAAAAAGGGGTCAGGAGGATGCTCACTTTTGCTAGGTGATTGGCTCAAGACTCAACCTGAATTTGCTTTTCAGGGTAACCTTTTTTTTGGTGGGGGTGTAACCTGGTTGTTACATATAAATGAATGAACAAATAACTCTCTGCTGTGATTAACATATCCAAACCAAAGCAGAAATCACAGAGAACATATATTTACAATGAAGATACAGGGATGCAAATGAATATGTCAAGACACTGGTCTCCACAAATAAGCACACACGCACACACTAACCCATTCACTTTCGCATGAATATATGTATGGTTACATGCCAGTTCACAATCATACAAGTGAAATACATGGATGTATGGATATATGTCGTGTCCACATGAATATATGCATGGGTATATGCAGTTCACAATCATCTAAGTGCAAGATTATTTGCATACATTGAAAGGACAAAATCATACCCTCCTATGCCTGATCAATAGATATGATTAATTGACATATTTTAAATCGTATAATTTTCAGAAATAATTATTTTACAAGAATTCCTAGGCGGGCATTTCAGAACGAATTTCTAATGATACAAGAAGATAATGCTAGAGAGCTACTCTCTATGTATAACAATCATCCTGATACATGCTAGAAGTCACAAGTGTACACACGTGTGCATATGTACAAGTATGAATCCGTAATTGGTCGGCATATTTTCAAAAAAAGTGCTCTACTGTTACCATATGATGCAAATATATCAAGGATATCTGAAGATGCACATGCATAGTAATTCACATACAAAAGCTTTTGGTAATCACATCCATATAATACATATAGACGAATATATACTACCAGTTTTCACATTTTAAAATTTCAATCCTAGAACCACGTTTGCCTAACAAAACATGTAACCAGCACGATTCTGCACTTGCAAACTAGAGCTATGAATACCGTTGAATCATGCATCGTTATCAATTACACATTCAAAACCCTCCAATTTCCCCCAATCTCTTTGACAATTATAACCATCCGTCAAAAATTCACAATCCAGATTGCGATTCAAAAGATCAACCAATCAACTTATCCCTATCAAACAATTCAAAATAATGATCCACATGGAAACAAAACAAAAAACATCCACCAATTCCACCAAGACATAGATTCATTCAAATAATCCAAACAAAAATTAACAAAAAATTAATCAGGATTGCTCACCTTCATGCTGAACGGACTGGCGCTGGCCAGGCTGCGTTCGCTTGGCGACGGTGCGAGCAGCGAAGAGAATGAACTCCCTGGTGGCGTTCCGCTGAAAGAACCAGAAGTGGCGGACGTCGGTGGCGCTAGCGACCACGACCGGATCCGATGACGACGACGAGTCCGGGCATCGAAGAATGAGGATCGATGTTATCTTCATCGATTTCTAGAGACCGGAGCGATATTTCGAAACCCTAACATTTGAAACCAGCGAGAGAGAGAGAGGATCGGGACTTGAAACCAGAGAGGGGCAGGGGGAGAGGGGGAGAGGCGGCGGCAGGAGGGGGGAGGCGGCGGCGGGGGGAGGCGGAGAGGGGGAGATCGAAACCAGAGAGAGAGAGAGAGGGGATCGCGAAAATTCCTTTGTTATCGGGTCGGGATTTGATAAATGACAAATGGTGGGTTGGAATTTGAAATCAGGGGTTTTGAGCTTTCAAATTCTTCTTTGTTACATGCAGTTCATAACTTTTAAGTTACATTTACTAGGACCTCTAAACATCACGTATTGACATGTATCCTGTGTGAAGGTCCGCATGTAGTAGGAAACCATACTTCTTCATCTGAAACCCATCAATAACGTCCACGATCTTCTCTCATCATCCAATACAGATGTTCATGGAATAGGAATTAACAACCCTGAGGGATTAATTTGAATTAAAAATTAATCCTATAAACATCTGTATAGGATTAAAAACTAATCCTATACACAAGTATATTAACACCCTTGAGGAATTAATTTGAATCAAAAGCTAGTCCTATATACAACGCAAGTATGGCAGAGGTTCTTTAGCCTGTAAACTAATTTGAATTACAATTTTCCTTCTTAAGAATTTTAATCCTTCTTATGAACAGAATGAGTTATTTCTGCTGAATAGTTTCTAGACAAGTCAGAACTACCAATATGCACGTGTTCACTTACTCACAAAAAAAGTAATAAGACAAAATAAACACTAAAAGTTATTTTAACTCAAAATCACCTGAAATCCAATCCAATGTTCTCAATCCATCAAATCTCATTTAAGCTAAATTCTGCTGTTGTGCAAATCAAACCAAAGCCATAATTTCCTGACGCTGGAAACATACATGTTAGAGGATCTGGTACCTTCACAAAAAAAGATACAAGTCTTGAATCTGAATTTGAACTCAGTAAAAAACTTAATACTGAATAAGTAAAACAATGAAACATGCACACTTTGATCTCAGACTGAATATTGGAGACAGGAGACCTAATGAGAAAAGAAAAGATGTTGTTTTGCATAAAGTGATCGAGTACCCGAAACCTCTCAAATGACAAATTTTGATATCACTACTTTTGAGGGAGGAACCAATTCTGCCACACACATCTACTGTAACAAATAAATGTATGCGTCATTAAACAAAATAACTTCAGGGTTCGGCTATCAGATAGAAGAAATCAAATGATAAAGAAAGAATTCTCACAAAAACTTGGCTATATCTTTCGTGAACTTCGTCCAACGAGAGAAGCTTAACCTTCAGTTGCAGATGATGCAATGCGTGAAACACATAACTTCAGCACCTTTCATTTCTTGCAGTTTTGAGGTCCAACCATAACAAGGATAGTAGAATAAGATTATGACCATAAGATTCTCTAAACTTGATATTTAATCATAATAAGGATTGACAGTCAATCTTGCAAGAAATATAGTTAGCTAGATGCACCTGTTTCAGATTGGACTGCAGAAAAGATAGCTGGATTTTACGGTTAACTAAAGTCAAAAAGATGCAGTTCTAACAAAGATGCATCTCACTGATCCATTATCGTGAAGCATCCCAAATATAACTCCTACTGATAGAGTTTGTTGTAACCAAACTCTTGTTGTGATCTGCTCAGCACAAGTCAGTTGTGCATGGTTATCTAATAACCAGTTTGTGATGATAACACTAGATATCTTATGTATCTCCTCATGTATATCTCCTGTAACTACTCATCTATATCTCATGTATTCTACAACAATATAAATCTGAAATGATTACTCACGATTCAAGTGAGTTAGCCCATTCACAAAACTCTGTTCTTGAGATTCTATATGGTATCAGAGCAAGTTCGATCCAATAATCCATCACCATGACAACTTCCAGCTCTACTACCTCCCCTACATCGTCCTCATCATTTGATTTGCCCACTGCCTCGCCTCTCCCCAATCTCGGTAATATTCATCATTTTCTTTCTTTAAGGCTAACTCCAACAAACTATTTGCTATGGAAAACACAGTTTCTTCCTTTGTTAAGGAGTTTCGATCTCCTCGGATTAGTGGAAGGCACAGATCGTTGTCCTTCCCCTTCCATTGTTACTAGTGAATCTGGTATGTCATCTTTAACTCCAGCATACACTGCTTGGGTTCGCAAAGACCAACTCCTCCTCAGTTGGATCATCGCTTCACTCTCGGAAGAAGTTCTCCCACAAGTTGTTGGTCTTGCAACATCTCATGAAGTATGGAAGGCTTTACACCAAGCTTTTGGCTCTCCGTCACACACTCGAATTCTTCAACTACACACTCAATTGCAAAATCTACAAAAAGGAGATAGTTCTGTCTCCTCCTACTTGAGCAAAGCAAAATATCTTGCCGATGAACTTGCTGCTGCTGGTCAACCCATGCCTCTTGCTACCTTTAATGCAATTGTCTTTAATACCTTGGCTGCTGAATACGGTGAGATGATTTCAGCCTTGTCTGCCAGGACGGAACCAGTCTCTTATCCTGAACTTTGTAGTTTGCTCGTTGGCCATGAAATTCGACTCTCAGCACAATCTGTTGCAGTTCCCTCAATTGTTCCTGCAGCGAATGTTGCTCATGCTCAACCAAACATTACTAATGACAATCGTTTTCACCGTGGGCGTGGCCGTGGACGTGGTCGTGTCTCCTCTAATCGTCGTGATCCTTGCCCAGTTTGTGGTGTGCACGGCCACAGTCCTTATCGTTGTCGATTCCGTCATCGTGGTCCGCCCAATCCTCAGGCGAATTCTGCACAATTTCAGCACTCATATGCACCCATTGATGATTGGTTTCCTGACACTGGTGCTACACATCATATTGCCCCGGACTTCACCAATTTTCTGGCATCTGAAGAGTACAAAGGAGGAGATCAAATTCAAGTTGGCAATGGTAAGAGACTGTCCATATCTCACATAGGCTCAACTCATATTCACTCTTCTTCAAGATCTTTTAAACTTTCAAACGTTTTATGTGTTCCATCCATTACTAAACGTCTTCTTTCTGTTCATCAATTTTCAAGAGATAATAATTGCTTTTTTGAGTTTCACCCTTCTTTCTTTGTGGTTAAGGATCAAAACTCAAAAGCAATCCTTCTCAAAGGACCGAATGAAAGCGGTCTCTATCGCTGGCCTCGTCAATCTCCTTCCAATAAAGAGTCATCTCCTTCTACTTTTGTCAGTTCGCGTGTTTCTTCAGATCTGTGGCATCAACGTCTAGGACATCCAAATGATCGAATCGTGCAACAAGTTCTTCACAGAACCAAGCTTCCTTCTTTGCCAAGTTCTCAAACAAATAAATGCCATGCTTGTTTTCTTGGCAAATCCAGTCGTTTGCACTTACCTCCTACATGTACTAGAAGTAATGGTCTTTTGGATCTTGTGTTTAGTGATGTATGGGGTCCGTCACCCATACTCTCTTCTAATGGTCATAGATATTTTGTTTTATTTGTTGATGACTACTCCAAATTTACATGGTTGTTTCCTATTAATCGCAAATCTGAAGTGCTTGATGTTTTTATTCGTTTTCAGCAACTCGTGGAACGACAATTTAATTGTAAAATAAAGTCGTTTCAGTCTGATTGGGGGGGTGAATATCGCAAACTCTCCACTTATTTTAAACAATGTGGTATTTCCCATCGAGTTGCATGTCCACATACTCATGAGCAAAATGGCTCCGCAGAACGAAAAATTCGTCACATCGTTGAAACTGGTCTCTCTTTACTTGCTCATGCTTCTGTACCTCATCGTTTTTGGCACTTTGCTTTTGAAACGGCTATCTTTCTTATTAATCGCTTACCTACATCCGTTCTAAAGGGCAAATCCCCTTTTGAAACCATATTCAAAGTTGTTCCTGATTATCAATTTCTCAAAGTCTTTGGTTGTGCATCATATCCCTTTATCCGTCCTTACAATAAGCATAAATTCGCATATCATTCAGTCCGTTGTGTATTTCTAGGATACAGCCCTAGTCATCTAGGATATCGTTGTCTTGATCGTCGCAGTGGACGTATTTACATTGTTCGTCATGTGCGATTTGATGAGTCCTCATACCCATTTAAAAATGACTCCATTCTTGGAGCTCCTCCACTTCCATCTACACAACATCCTTGGCTTTCAGTTGATGTGCCTTGGTCCGTTCCAAATTCACCTTCCTCACCATCCACCCCACAACCTGTAATTCCAAATCATCCTTCTTCTACTCCAGTTCATCCTACCACGTCAGCTACACCACACCTCTCTTCATCTCAGCGTACTGTTTTTACCCCTTCTGCACAATCTCCATTGCAAGTCAGCTACACCACACCTCTCTTCATCTCAGCGTACTGTTTTTACCCCTTCTGCACAATCTCCATTGCAACCAAATGACTCTGGACCTCTTTCATTGCCTTCTAGCAATGAGACTATCCCAACTCACCAGATGGAGCTACGTTCTAGAAAGCCTACAGATTATCGACAACTTGCAGGTTTACGTAATTCTCGAGCACTCTACGCAACGAAGCACCCACTTCCCGCTGCATTTCTTTCACAAAGTATAGCACTTCAAGAGCCAACGTGCTTTACTGATGCTAATAAAAACCCACATTGGAGAGCGGCTATGTCAGAAGAAATCTCGGCACTTCTTTCCAATGGAACATGGACATTAGTGCCTCGATCTCCATCCATGAACATTATTGGGTGCAAGTGGGTGTTTAGGCTAAAATACAAACCAGATGGCGGCATCGATCGTTACAAGGCACGTCTTGTTGCGAAGGGGTTTAATCAACAAGAAGGGGTTGATTATACTGATACTTTTAGTCCGGTCATCAAGCCTACAACTATTCGCGCAATTCTCTCTATAGCAGTCTCAAAAGGATGGTCTATTCGTCAAATAGATGTGAACAATGCCTTTCTCCATGGTCATCTCTCAGAGGATGTTTATATGTTACAACCACCAGGCTTCCTTGATAGTAATTACCCTCAACATGTTTGCAAGCTTCAACGTTCCTTATATGGTCTTAAACAATCACCAAGGGCATGGTTTCATCGCCTCAGTTCCTTTCTTCTTAAGTTAGGATTTATGGCATCCAAGACAGACGCATCAGCATGGTTTCATCGCCTCAGTTCCTTTCTTCTTAAGTTAGGATTTATGGCATCCAAGACAGACGCATCATTATTCATATACTCTCATGAAAATATATCACTATATGCACTGGTATACGTTGATGATATCTTGCTTACAGGAAGCTCCCATTCGGCACTCATTCAACTAATTCAAAGTCTTGGTCATGAATTTTCTTTGAAAGATCTTGGTCCTCTTCACTACTTCTTAGGGGTTGAGGTTATTCAACATCCAAAAGGAATACTCCTCTCTCAAAGGAAGTATATTGTAGACCTTCTTACTCGCACAAATCTGGAAGGAATGAAACCTGTTCAAACACCTTTATCGACTACAACCAAGCTCACTCGTACTGGTCCCTTATTCAGCGATCCATCACTGTATCGTCAAGTGGTTGGTGCTTTGCAATATGTTACTCTCACTCGTCCCGATTTGGCATTTGCGGTAAATAAGGTATGTCAATTTATGAGTGCGCCGACTATTGATCATTGGCAAGCAGTCAAGCGCATTCTGCGATATCTGAAGCATACAATATCTCACAGCTTGTTTATCTCTATATCACCCTCTCTTGGTCTTCATGCATTCTCAGACGCTGATTGGGCTGGTTGCCCAGATGATCGAAAGTCCTCCGGTGGTTATGCTATTTTCTTGGGTAATAATCTTATTTCATGGTCAGCTCGCAAACAACGTACGGTTGCTCGGTCCTCGACCGAGTCTGAATATCGTGCACTTGCTAATACAGCTGCAGAGTTGATATGGCTTCGATCATTGCTTAATGAACTGAAATTTCCACTTCAATCTTCTCCAACTTTGTGGTGTGATAATCTAGGTGCAATATATCTTTCTGCCAATCCAATTTTTCATGCTCGCACTAAACATATCGAAGTGGATTTCCACTTTGTTCGTGATCAGGTGGCAAAGGGCTGGTTAAACGTTCGTTTTATATCGACAAAGGATCAAATTGCTGATATTATGACGAAGCCTCTACCAACTAAAAGTTTCGCTGCTATCCGTGACAAGCTGTGTGTTCGCCACTGTGAACCCTCAGCTTGAGGGGGCGTGATAGAGTTTGTTGTAACCAAACTCTTGTTGTGATCTGCTCAGCACAAGTCAGTTGTGCATGGTTATCTAATAACCAGTTTGTGATGATAACACTAGATATCTTATGTATCTCCTCATGTATATCTCCTGTAACTACTCATCTATATCTCATGTATTCTACAACAATATAAATCTGAAATGATTACTCACGATTCAAGTGAGTTAGCCCATTCACAAAACTCTGTTCTTGAGATTCTATACCTACAACAAAGAAAAACTGCCATTAACCCTTCAAGAATATTAATCCTGAATCATTAAAAAAGTAATAAATATAACATAATCAATAATTGGACGAATCTGATACCTAAGAAAAGTATGGGTGTTTGGGCAGCTAATATCAGAATCAAGAACATCCAATTCTTGATTGTAAATACAGTTCTAACAAAGACGCATCTCACTGATCCATCATCCTGAAGCATCCCCATAATAACTTCTACAACGAAGAAAAGATGTCATTAACCCTTCAAGAATACTAATCCTGAATCATTAAAAAAGTAATAAGTATAACATAAACAAGAATTGGACAAATCCTATACCTAAGAAAAGTATGGGTATTTGGGAGCTAATATCAGAATCAAGAACGTTCAGTTATCCTGCTCCACCTGGAAAAACCATACATAGAGCAAAATCACTAAAGTGTAACCAAACTAGCAATATCTATGAGATCAAGAAATCAAAAGCAGGAAAAATAAGATATAAATTCTTGAGGGGTGTCTTTTTTTGGAGCTAAAGCACAAAAATATTTTACAGGTTTAGCGGAAAGCTCTGACCTTTTCCTGGAAAATCAACAAAAAGAACAGGGTAATGCAAAAAAGATCAATAAAAACAGCTTTAACAAACAGAAGTCGCAAAAATCAAGAACTAGGCCATACAAGGCATGTACGAAATTCCAAGACGGATGAAGCCTTTTCTTGCTGCGGACCTTTAATGAGAGGAACCTATCAACACAAGAGATTGCAAGCGACAAGTTTGTAAACTGATTAGTACGAGCCAATTGTCAAGAGCAGCTCTCATGTAAGGCGATTGACGTCAGTTTGAACCGTTTCCATGTACCTTTTCCTAAAATCAAGAAACAAGAAAGCTTAAAGACGGCAAATAACAAGAAAGCTCTAATATTTCGCTTAAACGTTAGCAAGGGCTTTCTTACCTCTAAAGTCCTGTTGTAATGGTGGATACTCCATGGCTCATGGAAGCTCAATTGTAGAGAGTTTCGATTCATGTTAACATCTGGAATATCTGGCAAGTCTGGAAGAATTGTGTCCAGCTCATTTGAGCTTGACTCAAGAGAATGTGGATCCACGTTGAAGCCTGGAAGAGCTATGTTTAGTATCTCCCTCTGAATTATTTTCTGCAGAATACAGCCTGTTACATCTTGAAGGATCCAGATCCTGAGTTTTGAACCTCAGAAGTTGGGGCTAGACTGGAGGCTGTTGGATTTAATCTAATAAATCTATTTGTGGGCACATATGATTAATCAATGTGTATTGCTATCTTTCAGGATAACCCACTAAAGTGATCAATTAATTTGGGTTAATTGGGTATTTAAATAAGTCATGGGGTTATATGTGCAGATACCAGGTTGTAATTGTGATTTGTTGAGGGGCCAAATTGCAAATGTACAACATCTATAAATAAGGGGTTATAGTCCCTAACCTAGGGTTACATTCTCTAATTCTCTTCACCCCCATCTAGAGAGAGAAATTCGGCTATAGAGAAACCCTAAGGTTAGAAGATCCAAAACTCAAATCAAGTTTTCATCTATGGATTCAGGTATAAGCTTCCGCTCTTTTATGATTCTTGTTAATCTCTTCGAATTAATCATGGCTATATGGTTTTATATCTCAAGTTTTATGATTAAGATCTAACAAGTGGTATCAGAACCACCTTGATTAATTCTTAGGGATTTAAGTTTTATTGGGTTTTCTAATCTTAAATCTCTGGTTAAAGATTCAGTTTTATTTTTCGGATGAACAGTAAATTTTTTGTTCGGATGAACAGTATCGAAATTTTTTCGGATGAACAGTAAAGTTTTTTCGGATGACAAATCGCCGGTGAACAGTAACTTTATGGAATTTTTTGGTTTTTTCGGCGGTTTTTTTCTTGGATCTGGATCAAGAAAACTTATTTTTTCGATTCTAGATCTGTTTTTTTATTTAATGGCGGGGGGTTTTGTTTTTAGTGCGTGAAAACGTGGCGAACATTAAGGAGGGGGTTACCTCAAATTTTGGCGAAGCGGTAAGCTTCAAACGAACCTCGCGTTCGTTCAATTTTAACCGATCTTCGCGTTCAAACGAACTTCGCGTTCGTTCTCAAGTGAGCCTCG